CATCAACAGCTTAGGATCTAGATAATTTTACATTTCCTTCTCATAAGGTTTTAGTTCACATTGAGATTTTACTGCACATTTTCATACTGTAGGATTTAGTGCTCTGACATCCACTTCAATGTTCAAAATCCCTTCACATTTGGGCTGATCCATTTTATATGTGCACATGCATGTTTTTGTTTTTTCTATCATTTGGCCAAATCCAGCTGGAGCAAAAATGGATTAGTTATGATGATCCTTTTTTTTGAAATCCTTTTTACATAGAAATTATTGACGAGATTCAGTTTCAAGCCGCATAAAATGATTCTTTTGCCATGGTCCATTATCACCAGCTTTCTATTTGCTATCTTAATATCCTCATCGGTGCAGGTAAATCTGAGGTATCTGCAATTGTATATAAAGCTGGTGAATGCATGCAAGAGCTTCTGAAATCATGGAAAGAGTTTGAAGCTACCCCAGATGCTAGAAATACTGAGAATCAACAAAATGGTCCTACTCTTGAAATTCGGATACCTGCGGAGTTTGTTACTTCCACGAATCGGCAAGTAAGTGTACTGATTCCTTAGGTGATTTCTGCATTAGACTTTTTAGTCACGTAATCAATCGCCATGCCTGTGTTGCTGGATTATTTTTCCTTTTCCTTAAGTAGCATAAGGGAAACAATAAATGATGAACATTTGAAAGTGCATTCATTACTGTCTCGCCTTCCATTTGAAATGCTATAGGAGTTTCTTCATTTTTAATTTCACTATGTTTTTCTGAGGCATGGACGAACAAACTGTTTATCTTACACTTTTTGACATCACGTAGGCTGAAGATTGCATCGCTCCTTTTTTAGTGTTGTTTAACAATTGTAGCGAACTTCTTCCATTAGCTACTTTATCCACATGTTAAATACTAAAAACCTCTGTTTTGTAGGTAAAAGGCGCTCAGCTTTGGGGAACAGATGTTTATACAAATGATTCAGACCTTGTGGCTGGTAGGTGCTTCATTGTTTTTTTCAATCTTCTAAAGTAGCTCAGAAAGCCGGTGTTCTAATGACCGTTTCTTTTAGTGTTAATGCATACTGGTTACTGCTCCCCTACATCATCACCTCCACCGTCTGCCATCCAAGAACTGCGTGCAACTGTTCGTGTGCTACCACCACAAGACAGTAAGCATTAACTAATTTTGTGTCAATTCAGTTGGACATGCTTAAAATGTCAGATTGTTGAATCAGTAGTCTTATAAAACATGGTATATCTCCCAGGCTATACTTCAACACTAAGGAACAATGTCCGTTCACGTGCTTGGGGCGCTGGTATTGGTTGTAGCTTCCGCATAGAACGCTGCTGCATTGTTAAGGTATTAAGACTGTAAAACTGTACAGAATATTATAATATTTGCCTTTTATTTATTCTGTTGATGCTACAAACTCGTGAAATCCTTTTATTGATCACTGTTTGAAGATTGGCTGCTTAGCATGCTTTACGCTTTGCAGAAAGGTGGTGGTGCCATTGATCTCGAGCCTCGCCTTAGCCATACGTCAGCCGTGGAGCCTACACTAGCTCCAGTTGCAGTGGAGCGTACAATGACAACAAGAGCAGCAGCTTCTGTAATTTTCTGATACTCTTTGTTTTTCTCTCTTAACAATTTTTTTGTTCTATTTTCAGTATTTTATTTTTTCTTCTTGTAACCAGACCTTCGTTTCTATTCTCTACTAAGGTTTTATCAATATGTTTCATGCAGAATGCATTACGTCAACAAAGATTTGTTCGGGAAGTTACAATACAGTACAATCTCTGCAACGAGCCATGGTACATTCTGGACTTACCTCCTGACCGTTCATTTTCTGTTCATCAAAGTACCTATATTGCCATTTCTGTGTCATAGCCGTTCTGGTGTTTTTGAGCGCTCATGTCTTCTGCAGCTCTGCTTGTAGAAGCTGCTGCCTTGTTCTGTTTTGAGCCGAGGTTGCTCCTAGTAAGCCATTCTTTTTTCTTCCTTCAGGTTAAAGTACAGTATAAGCATTGTGGCGGACAAGGGATTGAAGAAGTCTCTTTATACTTCTGCGAGGCTGAAAAAGGGCGAAGTCATATACTTGGAAACACATTTCAATAGGTACAAAATGACTGGCTTATTGTCCTAACACTGTTGTGTTTGTTGGCATTCTTGTTGACTTTCACTTGCATGTTACTCACTGTCTTCCAATTCTTGTCTTGTTGGCCTTAAGTTCTCGCAGGTATGAGCTGTGCTTTAGTGGGGAAAAGCCTCGCTCCATTGGATCAAATTCCAATGCATCTGATTTGGAACCGGAAAAACACCAGAACAATAGCCACCACCATTTGCAAAACGGGGACAGGGGCAACACGGAACATGAACTCCGGGACGTGTTCCGATGGTCACGGTGTAAGAAGGCCATGCCTGAGGTTGCCATGAGATCCATTGGTATCCCACTGCCAGCTGAACAAGTTGAGGTAATTTCCCTCTACAGCAAAGCCCATATCATTCTCTCTTTTTTACCCCATTGGGCGTAGGCGCGGCATCATTCAACTTTGTCATCTCTTACCCGTGGCAACGCAGGTGCTGCAGGACAATCTGGAGTGGGAGGATGTGCAGTGGTCGCAGACCGGCGTCTGGGTCTCTGGGAAGGAGTATCCGCTCGCCCGCGTGCATTTCCTCTCGGCGAACTAGCGATGGCTGCACTCTGGTAGCAGCAGGCATATGAAGGAACCATTTTCTTCGTTCTTGAATGCTGCTGCTTTGCCACCGTGCCATGCCATCTTGTTTGTGTATAAAAGAAGGAAAAGAGAAGAGAAGCTCAGGAGTTGTTGTAGGCCGTGTTGTGCCTGTAATCTTTGTTACACACCAATAACCGTTATATGTCTGTCTGAGAGATGTAATTCTTGGTTCTTGAGTTAGGCAAAACCGGATTATTATTCGCTGATTATTGAATGTTGGATGTAAGTTGGAACTATTTATCATCGAATGTTTCTTGGCTGTAGCCCATGGGAATATGGTTTTCATGAAAAATATCAACACATTAACACTAACTCTTTCATGAAAAACAATACCTTTTTTAGTGAACTATTGAAAGTAATACTATAATTTGTTGGAAACCTAGTACAAACACAGCTCAGATACGCACGCGTAGAGCCTGCCCACCCACACACACAATGTACACAAGCGTGCACACCCTAGCCCTACGAGCTCCTCTGAAAGATTAAGCCAACAAATCTTGAGAACAATGAAGTTACCACACACAACTTGTAGCCGATGGGAACATCAACTCCCAATGAACAAAAATCTTGGAATAAATCCAGGAAAATGGAAGCACCCTTTCAAAGTATAGTACTTGAACCCCAGTTGATAGGTTCACCACAAGGAATCTACACTTCTGAGCTATGCTCAATTCGTTGATACTATCAAATTTTCTATCAACATATGGGAAAATAAAAGATAATTACCGTGTCAAAAAGTCAATTGGTGAGTTAATTTTGTACTCTCATGAAATGTTTAAAGGTGTGTTTTATTTTGATAATTCATATCTTGTTCAAAAAATGTATCTGATAAAAAATGACTTTTCTAAATTGAAGGCCTTGTCCCATTTCCATTTTAAAATAAGGTAAAATTACATACATGCGAACTAGCTAGGTTTATCACATGACCTACATCAAAATTGTTTCATTGAAAGTATATCCAACTCCCTAAATGGATATTGATTACTGACGGCAATGTGTGGTGGACTAATAAATATGTGATTCAAATGTATAATTGTGTTTAAACTCTAACAACTAGAGAATGAATGTTATTGGCAGTCACCCAAATGAATAAGAGAAGAAGAGACCACACTTGTTGATGATAAAATTATATACTACAAAGGTTTCTAATGATTTAAGTATTATATTGATTATGGGAAAAAAATTGGATCAAGAGTGACACATCTTATAGCAGGTGACAAAGCTTAGCATTGTTGTAATGCTTAACCATTATCACCCGTAGCCTCACAAGATTAACTTCTGGAGTGTCAGTTATTAACCACTAATATATGGAACAGAAGCTTGAAATTCTACGAGTCAAAGAGTTCAGTGGAAACCACTATCCTTGTACTCCTTGCATTCCCTTATATAAGGTCACTTCATATTTCTATATCTAACTTTGACCATTAATTTTACCAACAAAACATGAGTTATATGCCATAAAAAATATGTCATGGAATGCACATTTTAAAGAACTTTCTGATGATATGTTTTTTATGACATATAATCCATATTTTGTTGACCAAAATTATGAGTCAAAGTTTGACAATAAAAACAAAGTGGCCTTGTATAAGGGAATGAAGGGAGTATTTTTTTTCTACAGTATTTATTTCAAAGTTTGAATTGTCTAAAACTTCCATCTAGATTGATTGGTCATTCGATTAGTTCAACCAGGACTTGGTTTGGATCTTAGTACACCATCTCATTAATTTGGTAGAAGCATTTGGGTTATGTCCCCAATGCATAGGGCTGGAATCGCAACCTGTATGCTACCATCTGTAGGGTATCCACTTAAGTTTGATATGTGTGTATGTATGTATGAGTGCTTGAGTAGCAATTGCAATTTGGATCTCAGGCAACATCACCCGAGGCCACATAATTAGGTAATAGTATTGTTGCAATAATGACAATTTCATTCTGATGACTATTTATAACAGGCTCCAACGCCAAGAAACACAAAGCATTACAAAAGGCTCATCGGGTCGGCATAGTCCTATACGTGTTCTAGTTCCACTATTTGAAGCGAAAGTTAAGTATTTTCTCTTGTAGACTTGCAAACAGATCAATCTAATTTTAATTTATTTACTTAAAGTATGTTACCATTTTTACTTTATATCAGCTTAACAACATTAATAAAATATAACATTTTTAGTCTTAGCTAGATCATGGTATTTCATCTTGGCGGCACACAACGACCAAATATTACTAAGAGAATACATATTAAAATAAACTAAGTGCACATTTCAATATGACAAACTAGTTTTATGAGGTAAATATAATACTTGCCGATTCTTTAAGATAAACAACACGGTAGCTCTTCCCAGGTCCTAAATGCTCCTCAAAAGAACGAAATGTTTCCAACAAATATAAGTAGATATCCTTCATGTATTCTGGAAGCACATCTACTGCACCTTCATCCCACCTGCATTTCACTATGTTAGACCATACCACTACTTAATAAAGTAATACTTGTGATGCATTTAAAAAAAACTTCAAGAATGAAATGAATTTGTGTTTCTACAAAAAAACTAATACAGTTAAATGAATAATTAACAATGGTACTTTCCTTCGTATCTTATATAAACATCGCTCCACGACGATGTCCCAATTTTCACTCTAATGTTTGCATGTGTATTAATAAATTGTTTCTTGTACTAGAATTACCATAATTCAATGGTACTATATTTTTTTAATTTTTTTGCCAATATGGAATTACTTATAGTTCTAAAATATTTAGTTATTTATGGAGTTATAGTGTAACTAGTGTGTGAGGTATAATGTTTATTACGTAGACAACTTAATATAAGTATTTCACTTTTTCTAAAGAAAAATTGTATTAAGACACAAGGCACAACAATATAGTAGCATAGCTAATATGCCATCCCAATAGAATCATGGACGTCATGAGGACATACCCGACATAATACATTCTAGTTATAATGCAACACTTCACTATTTCTTTTGTGTTTGTATGACTCGATATTACTATTTATTTTCATGCTTATTCTAATGTATATTTAGTTCATATATTAAAACTATTACAAAACACATGTATTATAATTATTAGAAAAAACTACTCCATCCGTTTTTATTTAGTCCGCATATTAGCTTTGGTCAAAGTCAAGCTTTGCCAACTTTGACCAAGTTTATAAACAAAAGTATTAACATACCAGGACAATTAGATTTATTATTGAATGTACTTTCACACCATATGGATTTGTTATGGTAAATATTTATAATTTTTTCTAAAAATTTGGTCAAACTTTACAAAGTTTGACTTCAGTCAACTCTAATATGCGGAGTAAATAAAAACGGAGGGAGTAATTGGCGAAGGGAAGGAGGATTTAACCTATTAATTGCTTCTGCAAGTTGCATGCTCTCTTCAGTGCTACCATAGGTGTCCAATATGTCATCTATTATAGTCATGAAAGCAGTGATCTTTGTAGCTATAATACGGGAATAAGAATATTTGTGATTGTAGCTAGTTCCATTTATCCAAAAATAAGTTTCTACTATTCTGTCTCTTACGAAACTCAAATTTGATCCGACCTTGAGTTTCTGCCACCACCTAGAATGAGCATAACATAAGTCAATTGGCATTCTTATGATAACAAGAAAAAGAACGCATTGTAGACTAATTTCAAGAAGAGAATTATAAAAAAAACTTACAAGGTGACCTCTTTTAACTCCTCACAGAAAAGAAGTTGCAGAATATTAAAATTCAATTTTGCAAGCTCCAATATGGCTTCATTTCGTGTAGGCTCTTTTTCATAACAAGGTATGTAGCTTCTTGCTTCTAATATCCTAACCCTTCTAAAAGGAGGTGTAAGAAGGGCAAAATACACTTCCTCTACACATGGTGATTCCAAATGTTCTAACGCGCCAAGGAGGTGTTTTTTAGTGAAACAGATTGCCTTGTCAAGTACTTTCTCTCCCTTGGTCCTCATATGCGCTGCACTATATGAGCTCAATAAACTATTTGTATCTGATTGAAAGAAATCTCCTTGTTTGTCTTGAAATTTATTGAATACATCTGCAATGTTTATTGAAAATGGACATTAATGATTTCCAAGAAATCAATGTTTGATTGCTATATATCTTGGTTGTGTAAGTTTATGGGGCCTTACCAGATGAGACATCATATCTATTTTTCCGCAAAAGATAAAATCGAAGTGAAACCAACTGTAGATTATTATCATCATAATCAGAGTTCAAAACGACATCCAGTAGTTCCCCGATCTCATTCTCGTAGTGGTAGTCCAAGCCAAGTCGTTCAAGCGAGAGTATAAGCTCCATTACTTTTTGTATTCCATTTGACTCTTTTATTATTGCTCTTACTTGCTCCAATAAAACTTCCATTCTTTCTCTCATCTGAGGTTGCTGCAATAATGTAAATGGTATTACTAATCAATCATGTAGACCACTAATGCTTTGCATCATAGTGTTCACCATAATGCTACAATTTCAAGAACTGCAATAAAAATGACACACCATTAAAATATCTTAACAAACTAGAACATTTATTTCTAAGTTAGTTGATTCTTATTTTTAAGTCAATGTTCTAACCATTTAATATCTATGTAATGAAATTGGATAGCTACACATTCAAGATATTATAGCAACTTTAGTTCTAGAAATATGCAATGAGGCAGTTGCATGGTATTACAAATGAACTTCAAATTCGTGTGCAACTCTTGGTTTTATGATATGCTACTTGGCTGATTTACAAATAATAGTTGCTCTCAAGTAACTATGAAAAATTCTACAAGAAAAACATTCTTAATTAATACAAATAATGGTAGAATCTAATTTATACCTAATATGGTGACTATTGTTGTAAAAGTTTCCGCCAAAAATAATAATTCTTTCAGAGATAAAAAGATGTTACAACTAATTAAAACACATACCCATCACACAAAAACGTTGCATAGCATCGAAACAAATCATGGACGTTTTCCAGCATTTGTTTGTTGGAAGCTGTTTGTGATAACAAATCCTTACGATAGTGTAGACTGTCATTTAGAAAAACAACTTAATGTTGCATTGTACTCCCTTCGTCCGGGTTTATTAGGCCCCCTTGTATTTTGGGCCAAATTTTGACTCTAGATTCAATTTGCAAAATATAAGTAATATTTCAAACAAAATTATATTGTTGTATTCGTATTCAAAGGAAGTTTTCAATGGCACCATTTTTCTACATATAATTCATATTATATTACGCAAATGTATGGTCAAACTTGGGCTCAAAATGTGAATCTGCCTAATAAATATGGACGGGGGGAGTACAAATATTGTATTTTGTGTCATTGTGTGTACAACGTGGCATAGTGTGATTGTCATGTTTTCACGAGAAGAGCTAAATCATGAGTTTACTTAATAAATATGATAATTTTTCTTTAAAATTGGGCCGACGCATGCATGCATGCATGTTTGGTATTGCATTGATTCGGCAAATTGAAGTCATTTGTATATTCACCTAAATAAGCCGATGTCATGCAAAAAATCTTTCCACGACCCTATAGTTATCTCCAGGGCCGACCCATAGGCCGGGGGAACGGGGCAACCGCCCTGGGCCCCTGGGAGGTAGGGGCCCCGACCCAGGTAGTAGTATACGTGTTAGGATATTTTCTTCTTTAGGTCCAGAAAAAATGGCCCAAGCCCACCATGTTGCTAGCACTCACGGACCGAAAGACTACGCTGCTGCAGCACCGCATCGATCTCCTCCAACTCCAGTATCCTCGCCTCCTCCCCAAAATTCTCTAATCCAAGAGAACAACGCCGCCGCTCCCGTGCATTTCCAAATTCGAGGTGCCGCTCCAGTGCATCCATTAATGGAGACTGAAGGTGCTATTCTCTTCCCCAATCATCTCTTTTTGCATCCTCAACGTTCCCACCAAGTAGACGTTTGAGGAATTGAGGAATCACCGCATTAGAGATGGTACGTCTCCCTCCAATTCATCTCTTCCTAGTTCATACTCTTGTGTTGGCCTGTTATTAAAAGCTTCATTGGATCCAGGGATGAGAAGGGGGGACGGGGAATGAGTGTTGCAACCTTGCAGATCTGGGAAGCTACATCAACAATTCGACATCAAGGTATATGCTCATATTCAGGTGCTTTGGTTTTTTCTGTAATTGTTTGGTGACATATCTTCTAAAAAATGTTTACTAGTGAAAAAAGGAAGTGAAAAAACATAGAGATGAACTGGTAGAATCACAGAAAGGTTCAATTGACATTTTTTAGAAACGGTAGTTCTTCGAAGAACTTAAAGTGTTCAGAAGTATATTTGCCTTCTTACTTGGCTCAAAAGACTTTTATTGAATGATATTTAATTATGCAAATGCTGTGCTAAATTTGTACAAACGGTTTCTCAAAGTTATGTTGAATTAGATGATCTCTTCTCGGAATTACAACTATGACAAATGACTATACCGGAATCTGATGTGCCATTGCGTGCTATGGAGATCTTCGAGTTCGTTGGAGACATAGACTCTTTTCCGAATATATTAATAGCTTATCAAATTTTATTTGCTGTACCATTCACTGTAGCATCAGCTGAACTCAGTTTCTCAAAGTTGGAGTTATTGGGAAACTATTTCAAATTATCAATGTCACATGAAAGATTGAATGGTCTTGCTGCTTTATGCATTGAGAAAGCAAAGTTGGATGAAATAAAAAATACTGATGCACAGATCTGATCATCATGTTCAGGAAGCTTTGGAGACTTTTTCTTCGGGTGAAGACACCGAGTAACGGACAGATTAGAGAAAATAGAAACTAGTGTAAGTTCTCATGTATTAACATTATATCTCATATTCTCATGATAACACAAACACTTCAAGTTGCTATCAGCTTTGACAAGGTTTTCATACTTAGAAGAGCGAGATGATTGTCTCTTTGTGGCCCTTAAAAGAGCGATCCTTTGTAGAACTATATTGTTTCCATACTATTAGGATGTAGTTCTCTAGACCGTCAATCTATGTTATGTACTGAATTGCTTTCGAAATACAATATATTCTGAATTTTTATTTGTTCATAAGGGCCCCATTTTGTCGTCTCGCCCCAGGGCCCTGAATATGTATGGACCGGCCCTGATGACATGTGGACTTTACATTAATGTTTGGTTATTTACAGAGACATTCAACCGAAGGAGCCCGATCGACGACGGTGGAGGACGGGCCTGGCTTATCCACTCGTTCTCCCCTCCTTTTTATAATCCCGCCACCTTTAGCAACGGACGCGCGAAGCCACCCCCGCCAACTCTTAAACTCGCCCCGCGGTTCCTTCCGTTCCTCGCTTCCTCGCTAATGGCAGCAGCGTCAGGAACCGCCGCGACGTTCTCCATCAGGACGCCGGCGCCGGGGCTCCGGCGGCCCTGCGCCCGCGCCGCCGCGGCCGGCGGGGGCGCCAAGTGGTGGGCGCCGCTGCTGGGGTGGTCGGGCCAGCCCGACTACATCGACTCCCAGCCGGCCGCTGAACCGGCGCCGAAGGAGGAGCGGGGGAAGAGGCGGTTCGGGGTGCTGACGGAGGAGAAGGCGCGGCAGCTGCGGCTGAGGATGATGGAGACGGAGAGCTTCCACGACGTCATGTACCACTCCGCCATCGCCTCCCGCCTCGCCTCCGCCCCGCCCGACACCGCTCGCCGCACCAAGCCGTAGCCTAGCCACGCGCGCGCGCTCCCTTGCCGTACGTGGCCGCCGTTCGAGGAGCAGCTCAGCTCATCGGCCGGCGGGAAGCCATGCATGCGCAGCTGTGTATTTGTATATAAATAGCAGAAGCTTTTGTTCGTTCGTTCTAGACCGCGACCATGCTCTCCTCCTGGATTGGGATGGACTGATCAAAGAAAAGGAAAAAAAAAACATCAGTCCTGTAACAACACCTGCAACCAAGAATGTTGTTGTGAGACAATAATAATAATAATACTGCTGCAGGATGTACGTATGGTATGGTATGTACCGCCATTGACGTTTCTCGATCTCTGTTCAATGAAGCATAGATCCGGATGCTCACAATTTCTTCCTGCTACCATCATCAACGATTTCTGTACTGGCACTAGTCAATGATGATGCATGGCGAGACCTTGCAAAAATTCGTCCAGGCCTCGATCATCCGTCCTTGCGTATCATTGTCTCCGGCGGAAAATGAGTCAAGTCTCTGTCCATCAGGGGTTCAGGACTCGCAAGTGCACGTCGCCCTCCGCGATGATTCATGCATGCGACTCCATCGGCGACTCGGCGTCCCCGTCCAGGCCAGGGAGCACAAGATAAGCCAGTAATCCCAGTCTCAGTGTGTGTTTATCGTCGATCCGTAGCGATCTGATTTGATGGAGCACGTCGCACGTCATCGCCATTTGATTCAAGCTGTACGCTGTCAGTTGAATAACCCCGCGGAGACATTCGCACCGATCGATCGAGACCGACGTCTGCCTGCCTGACTTGTTCTAGTGTCATCCTTGTTTGTGGTTTAGGATAAAGGATACTGTCAGGGAGAGAGCCACGTGGTCGGAGCAATATACTCTGGCCAGTACTATGTCAGTGCCTCAGAAAGCAAGCAGCTTGACTGAAAGAGAGAGAAAAAACTTTAACTAGAGTACGTAGTGCTATCATGTTAAGTTCACTTGGCCAAGCATATGCACGAGTCAGCCAAAGGTGAATTTTCACGGCATAAGATGGCGCGAGTTACTTTGTGGAGTCCACCATATGATAGGATGATCCACGAGGACTGGAGGACCTTATTTTCCGAGTAACTTCCGGCCAAGTTTTCCTCTAGAAAACTTCCTTCCGGTTAATTACCCGAGCAAATAAAAGAGTCGGAGACGGCGAAGAATGGCCAGCTGCATGCGCATGACTCGGCGCTCCGCCGGTTTTGCTTTATCCACAACGTCAGCGGCGGCCGGCGGGATGGGGTCGGTTGCTGCTTATCCGTTCCTTCGTTCGTTCCTCCTCAGCTCCAACCTCCAAGGCGGCGGTGTTCTGACGCACGTCGCTCTCTGCCTGCCTGAACCTGGAACTGCAAGCACCCGTTACCAGTCCGTCACAAGCCGGAGCCTTCGTGTCCGGTATTATTTTTACTAAATGACACCTGGAGGATCTTATTTCACCCACTGACACTCCCAAAAACTCATTTCGCCGTCTGACCCCCTACGCGCCGGACCGATAGGCGTCTCACTTGCACGTTGCCGCGCCGTCCATGATGGCGCCTTTGACCGAGGCTGACGACCGGCCGCCGGCATGGTAACCACTACACACGCCCACCCGGGAGGCGTGATTCAGCCGGATGAGTCGAGTTTCTACGCTGGACCTTCTTCTCGTAGTAATAAGACAGTCTGATATATCCAAGTATCGGTGGGTGTTGTAATTGCATCAAGCTAACATATCGGATAATCTGATGTGCTCCCACGGCATGCGCATCTATTTGGCGCGATGCGCTTGCCAAATCATCCGGCACATTAAGTAGGAACGGCTGAGTCCTTGTGGTTCATAGCTGCACGTCGCCGCGCCTACTTACTTGGTATTTATTCTAAAATAAAAAAATTACCTTGCTAGACGCTTAAAAAATCAGACGGTCTGACTCTTCATTATTCTGTCACTGTTGTGGGGGTCCATGATGGCATTGAAAGCGTTCTATTTAGCACCTCAACCCTTTTTTAAAACCATTTGCCATTACCCCCCGCCGCCCTTTGTCCTCCCCTTCCCTGCCGCCACTCGTCCTCCTCTTCCCCATCGCCGACGCCACCACCTGCACGCACCTCCTGTTAGAATTAATCCAAGGCGCCAAGTTGATCTACGGAGGACCAATCACTCACAAAGGCACAACACTGAGATTTGTTAACAAGGTTTATCGTTATGGTTACATCCACGGGGTTTGACTACGTGCGCTCCTCCTAGTGACGCCGTCACAATACCGCACCCCGGCCGCCCGGGCATCGGCACATCCCGCCGTCTCCTGCTGCGTTCTTGTGCTATTATGTTGGCATAGATTACACCCTGTGTATGCCCCATTATATATGAGAGGCCCAGGATACAAGTGTCCTACTAGGACACGACTCCATACCCTGTAAACACAATACAACTACAAGTCCAACTGTAACCTATCTTGTATACTATATTTGACACAACTCTAACAAACTCCACCTTGGCGAGTATTCTTCACCATCGTGAATTCGTCCATGCGTCAAACTTCCATGTACATTGGACTTGAGCTCATCCCATGATTATCGCTGCTACTTCAAAGACTCCATGTGACTCCACCTGCAACTTGTAGTCCCTTCTTTCTTAACCACAATGAAGACTTGAGCAATATTAAGTTCCTTATTACTCTAGTTTATGCTCCCAACTTCCGGAGTATTCGTTTATCACCGATCTGCGTGTAAAGTGAACAACTCACTTATCAGGTGGCATACATAAGAGTTACCTGAACTCAACATCACCGCTCCTTTCTTGACTACCAGTTTGAAACCTGAAGGAATTTCATCGTTGCTTGTAGTCATCCCGAGTCAAATTCGCAGTTGTCTCACCACATGTATGACCACGAGAGCCCTGGCCCGTCTCCATGTATGACCACGATAGGGTGGCTATATCATTCAGTTTAGTAAGATGTGCCACAACAATTTTAGATTCATAGCCATAGAAAGGATCAGCTTCAACCAAAATAATTAACTTAGGATCGACTGAGAAATCATAATCCTTATCAATAACACAGATAGGTGAAGTAGCAAAAGCAGAGTCATATTTCATTCTAGCATTCAGAGACTTTTCTTTCAACTTAGCTAACAGTTTCTTAAGATCATATCTATCATTGCAAGCAAAACGGTCTCTAGCAGTTTCTTCATCCATAACGTAACCCTCAGGCACAATAGGCAATTCATATCTAGGGGGAGAATCTTCATTATCACTTTCATTAATATCATCAGTTTCAATAATTTCATTCTCTCTAACCCTAGCATGTTGTTCATCCAGAAATTCACCTAATGACACATTATTATCAAGCAGAGAAGTAGTTTCATCATAAGCATCATGCATAGCAGAAGTGGCATCATCAATAACACACGACATATCAGAATCAATAGCAGGTGTAGGTGTCACAAGTTTACTTAAAACAGAAGGTGAATCAAGTGCAGAGCTAGATGGCAGTTCCTTACCTCCCCTCATAGTTGAGGGAAAGATCTTGGTTCTTTTATCTTTCAAATTCCTCATAGTGATCAACAGATATAAATCCCAAGTGACTCAAAGAATAGAGCTATGCTCCCCGGCAATGGCGCCAGAAAAGAGTCTTGATAACACACAAGTATAGGGGATCGCAACAGTTTTCGAGGGTAGAGTATTCAACCCAAATTTATTGATTCGACACAAGGGGAGCCAAAGAATATTCTCAAGTATTAGCAGTTGAGTTGTCAATTCAACCACACCTGGAAGACTTAATATCTGCAGCAAAGTATTTAGTAGCAAAGTAGTATGGAAGTGACGGTAACGGTGGCAAAAGTAACAGTAGCAGTTTTGTAGTAATCGTCACAGTGGCAACGGAGAAGTAACTAAGCCAAGATCAATATGAAACGAGCTCATAGGCAATGGATCAATGATGGATAATTATGTCGGATGCAATTCATCATGCAACAGTTATAACATAGGGTGACATAGAACTAGCTCTAGTTCATCAATATAATGTAGGCATGTATTTCGAATATAGTCATACGTGCTTATGGAAAAGAACTTGCATGACATCTTTTGTCCTACCCTCCCATGGCAGCGGGGTCCTATTAGAAACTAAGGGACATTAAGGCCTCCTTTTAGTAGAGTACCGGACCAAAGCATTAGCACTTAGTGAATACACGAACTCCTCAAACTACGGTCATCACCGGGAAGTGTCCCGACTATTGTCACTCCGGGGTTTGCCGGATCATAACACGTAGTAGGTGACTATAACTTACAAGATAGGATCAAGAACTCACATATATTCATGAAAACATAATAGGTTCAGATCTGAAATCATGGCACTCGGGCCCTAGTGACAAGCATTAAGCATGGCGAAGTCATAGCAACATCAATCTTATAACATAATGGATACTAGGGATCAAACCCTAACAAAACTAACTCGATTACATGGTAAATCTCATCCAACCCATCACAGTCCAGCAAGCCTACGATGGGATTACTCACGCACGGCGGTGAGCATCATGAAATTGGCGATGGAGGATGGTTGATGATGACAATGGCGATGGATTCCCCTCTCCGTAGCCCCGAACGGACTCTAGATCAACCCTCCCAACGAAGATTAGGGCTTGGCGGCGGCTCCGTATTGTAAAACGCGATGAATCCTTCTCTTTGATTTTTTCTCCCCGAACGTGAATATATGGAGTTGAAGTTGAGGTCGATGGAGGTCCAGGGGTCCCACGAGGCAGGGGGCGTGCCCTACACCCTCGTGGACAGGGTGTGGGCCCCCTTATGTTGATTCTTTCGCCAATATTTTTTATTAATTCCAAAACGTGACTCCGTGGAGTTTCAAGTCATTCTGAGAACTTTTATTTCTGCACAAAAATAACACCATGATAGTTCTGCTGAAAACAACGTCAGTCTGGGTTAGTTCCATTCAAATCATGCAAGTTAGAGTCCAAAACAAGGGCAAAAGTGTTTGGAAAAGTAGATACATTGGAGACGTATCA